TGCTATCTGCTGTTTCTTTTTCAATAGTCTTTGTGGTGCTTTTGGCTATAGAGCATGGGGTCACGCTTAGAAAGCAGAGTTTGTTGTTGTCTGGAGAGAGTTTTTCATTCATTAAATGCAGAATTGTCGTGCAGAAACTAAATGTGGCCTTACGGTTAGCTGACCTGCGGATTACTGAGTCGCGGTGCTTGGGGCTGCTGTCCCCGGGCTGGGAAGGATCCTCGCGGGGCGCCTGATTTTCCTGCAGTGTTTGCGCGTGGGATCGCTGCACGGGATGCACGGAGCCGCTTTTATTGTGCGTATCGTGGTCTGGTTCTCGCAGAAGCCCCTCGGCCCTCCACGTAACCCACCGCGGGGACGAGGGGCACGACCGGCCTCTTGGAAGTCTTCCGTTACAGGCTGTCTCCGCATTCAGGAATAGCTGTGCTCCGATGACATTTGGTGCGCTGTTTTAGAGTATTTTTGGCAACTGTAAGAAGTAGATTTTTTTTTTTTTTTTTTTTTTTTACCTGATTGATTTTAATACAAGCTTGCTTCCTGCAGAATCTGAACCGTTAACGCGGCTGACGGTGTCTATCTCACGTGGTTTGGAATGAAACCCTTAGCTCTGCTGATCGAGGAAGCCGGAGTTGGCAGGACAGGTCTGGTGTGATTTTGTTGAAAGGTCTCTCTCTGGCGTGAGAAGCGTCACGCGGCACAGACTGGAAACGTGAGCTGGAGCCCCCCCGGGCCCCCCCGGCTGCCGTCGAGCGGCAGCGAAGCTCGCGGGAAGTGCTGCCTGGCGGGATCGTGCTCCGCGTCTCCAGCATTGCTGGTGCTGGCGTTCCCGCGTGCGTTTGCGTGGGGGAGGTTTTTCTGGGGATGAAAAATAGATTTTGTGCTCTGTTTTTTTTTAAAAAAAAAAAAAAACAACAAACCAAAACAAACGTTTTCTTCTAATTTTTCAGTTGTCTCTGGGTGGCCTTTAACATTCTTATCTGCTGGAAGCATCTCCAGGCTGCGCATCTATTCAGACACAATATATTCATTATATTTTTAGATGTAAGAACCATTAAGGGTTGATTAGATCTTCAGAACAATTGTGTCTTTTGAATGAGTGATGGGTTAGGAATATCAGAAATACTCGAGTAAATAAAAACACAGAAGAAAACCAGTAATAAATATTTATAAGGAGCGTGGGTTTTTATGTACATAATCTAAATTTCCTGTTAAGTAATTTTAGTGGATATATTTTATGTGCTCTCTTTCCTGCTTCTCCCTGATTTTTTGCTCTTCTTTTTTCTCTTTTTCACTGACAAATCGTGTCGCTGATTTAAAAAGAAAATCTTAAAATGAAATACTACCCCTGAAATGAGAAAGGTTGGTTTGGAAAATTACATTTGCTAGCCAAAGCGTTGGAAAGAGAAGCTCAACTCCGGCTTGTAGCTATTTTTGGACAGCATGCAGCCCGCGGTATATGGGTCAAATTCTGCGGTTGATAATGCAATTCAATTAAATTCGGTAGACGCGACTGTGGCGCGTGTAATTCCCGTGGATCTCTCCGGGAATCCCGTCGCAGCCGGGTGCCTGCAGCCCACCCCGCTCCCACCGCGCTGCTCCCCAGGCGCCGGGTGCTGCTCCACGCCGGTTACGCGGGCGAGCAGCCACTTACTCGGCGGGGGTGTCTGAATGGCTTCACCTTTCCAACACGTTTCTTTAGTTATATATTTCAGTAAAGAAATGCTCTGAAAAACGGATTCATATTAATAACCCGTAATTCTACAGGCACACAAGGATGATACGGTCTTTCACTGCCAAAGCTACAATCTAATCTGACAATTTCCTAAAAGATGACAGGCTCCACAAATACACGGGAGCAAAGGAAGCTGAGTGTGAGAAATTAAAAGTGCTTTCTTGTAGTACAGACTACTCAAAATTCACTCATTTATCTGCTTTGTGTTTAGGGTGTTATTTCCAGTTTAGCAAATAAGCATGTAAATAAAAAGTAAAATTAAGAGGAAAAATGCCAAAGAAATTATGTCAGTTAGTTTGATGGCTTTTGCTTACAGTTTATAAACAGGCAGAGGGTTTTACAGAACATACCGTGATGCATAAAAAGGCTTTCATGATCGTCTTAAATTAAAATGTATTGATATAATTTTTGTACAGATATTCCCCCGCATGATTACGAGTCCAAACCATGGCAGCATGGTTTGAGGGCACGTGAACCAGAAATTAAAACCGAGCCTGAGAGTCTGATTTAATTACCCTGCTAAGTGAAAGGCAAAAGAGGGAGAATAAACAGCGGAGGAGGAGACTCTGTTGGAGAAATATTTTAACAACCCATGTCTTCCCCACACTGCATTTTGTGTTTGATGTTGGGTTACGCTGACCGAGTCCCCTCACCAAAAATGTTGAATTAGCAGCTCCCGCAGCCGTTTGAGCGCTCGCTCGGCGGAGCTGGGGTCACCCCAGCAAGTCCCAGGGCGCGGGGGGCTCCCCCTCGCCCCGGCCCCCCCGCGCAGGGGGAGGTGGGGGCGACGCGCCCCTCTGCGCATCGCCCGCCGGTCCCCTTCGCGTTTGTGTGGCACCGATGTAAGTGACGGACGCGGGACAGAAAAGAAACAGGTCTGTAAGCTCTGGCAGAAGCCCTGGATTTCCAGCTGCACATACGTGAATTTTAATGCTTTGCTGGGTTGGGGATTTAGACTGAACGATTGTCCCATTAGTCTCAGTGGGTGGAATCCCGATCTCACTGGCTTGAGTGGCAAAAATGCTGTCGGCTTCAAGGAGCCCATTTTTTGACTCCAACTCACTGTGTATTTTTTATTAATTATATTTGCTATGTTTTATTTAACTATCACTAAAAGCCTCTCTCCCTTTATTAACAGGGCTATTTATTATTTCTTAGGCTAGAGAACATCCCTTTTCACTCTGTATGAGTGCAGACATTTGAAAGTGCAATAACGCAGGGGTGTCTTGGCACTGGTTCTCCGGTTAGGTGAGTGGTTAGTTACTCCTAAGTAACTGTCCAGGTAAGCACTTCTTTCTGCTACTTAATTTTCTATAGATTTATTTCTCCAGGCTCCTCCCTTGGTTTATCATGGCATCTTTTACTCTGGCAACAAAATACCTACAAACTCAAAGAAAAAAAAAAAAAAAACAAAGTAGAAGCAACACCAGGGAAGACATACTGTACACATCTCCCATTCTATAAGTTTCCTGGTTTATAAAATCATGTCTTAGTTAAAAAAAAAAAAAAAAAGAAATAGCAATGCTTAATTTCACATTGCTGGAGCAATGGCAAACTCACATAATACATAATGCAGAGCATTATAGCTGTCAATCGTGCCATGATAAAAGAAATACAAACTATGAAATAAAGTTGAAATAAGACTGAAATACTCAACAGCATAAAATCCAAGGGCTTTGTTTGCAATGAAAATGTACATCAGTTTTTATATAAATGAAACTGTATATTGTCTTCACAGTACACAATATCACACAGTTTTAGAGGGAGAGTCACAGGGTGTTTGAGAAGGCGGGGTGAGATGTTTGGTTTTTTCCCAGTCGGTGCCTCCCAGGACCCCAAGCCCCCATCCAAAGTTGGTGGGTAGCAGCAAGCGGCCGCGGCTGCTGGAGGAAAATAGTAATTAATGATATTCCTCTGCCCTCTGTAGGAGAATTGCCTGCACTGAACACTGCTGGGGGGAAAACCGCCCGATCCGGCCTGGCACCGCCGCTGCCCGGCCAGCATCTTCTTGCCTTCTCATTAAAAAGCACATCCGGATTAATTTTTACAGCATTTAAAAGCAGATAAGGAGTGGGGAAGAGTCTGGTCTCGACGAGAAGGAGATGAGCGAGCAGCCTATGCAATTTGCCTCCGAGCTAGGGCTTGAGCCGGCCTCCAGCTCAAGTTTGCAGCTCGGTGCTGGCACCTTCGCTGGCAAAACCCCAACGCCGGTTGTGGAAAGCCCAAATCCCGACCTCCTGAAACTGTTTGGTGTGGAAAGCCCCAATCCCGACCCCCCTGAAGCTGTTTGTTGCGGGGTCACGAAGTTCAGACCTACCTCTGCAACTCAGGTTTCAAGATGCTGATTTGGGTCCCTGCTCCCTCGTAGCAAAATACGTGTCAGCCTCTATTGGCCGTTCCCCAATTCCAGGTGTAACCTTGTTTTTTGGGGCCACCTCGCCCAACCAAGCAGCCAGAAACCGGCAGCGGGCAAACCCAAACCAGCTGGTGTTCGTTAATGCTGGATGCGGGTCACCTGCATCGCGTTGCCACTGCTTCTAGGGCAAAAGCACCTGGGGACCTTTGGTGCTGGTGTGGGTTTGGTGAGGTTGGTGTAAATCCGGTGTAAGGATCCATCTGTGCACAAGGACTGGGGTTAACTGGTGAACCTGCCCTTCAGCTCTGGCTGCTGTCAGAGGGACTCTGACTTCCACAGAGGCCACAAAACGTTTAATGTACGGGACAGAAAAGAATTAATTGGGTTCAGTGCAGCATATGGGACAAAAAAAAAAAATTAATTGGATTCAGTGCAGCTAGCGGCGCTAAAAAAAAAAAAAAATAAAAGTGCAACGTCGCCTTAAATAAATAGTTGTAATGTTTTGCGTTGTGTAACAGGACTTCGCTTCCAGGCCGCTGCTCCCCCCGTGCTGCTCAGCTCCAGGGCACCGGGCACGCTGGGACCAGCTCTCGGGTCCCCCCCCGCCGCCCCGCTCGGCACGGCCGCGCTGGATCGCTGTGTCTATTTCTATTTTTCGCTATTATTATATAGCCCAGACGCCCGGCAGGCAAAGGGCGGGCACGCGCGAGGCGCCCAGACCCGCCGGGCGACCGCTCGCCCGCGGCTGCTGGCCCGGCCCCCGCGCTGCCGGACGGCGGGCGGTAGGACCCGGCCCGGCCCAGGGCTCCACAGGCCCCGCCCCCCACAGGCCCCGCCCGCAAGCTCCGGCCCCGCCCCTCCCTCCCTCCCTCCCTCCCTCCCTCCCTCCCTCCCTCCCTCCCTCCCTCCCTCCCTCCCGCGGCAAGATGGCGGCGCCCTTAGCGCGGCAGCTGGAGGAGCTGCTCAACCCCCGGCCCAGCTTCCGCGACCCCGAGGACGACGCGGAGGAAGGTGAGGGAGGGCCGGGAGGAGGGTTTAATACCCGCGGCCGGCGGTGGGCGGGCTGGGGATGGGCCGGGCAGCTGCCGGGGCGGCCGCACGTGGTGCCGCAGCGGGGCCCCCTCAGCTCTGCCGTGCGCCTCGGGCTTCCCCCTCCCCAGCCGCGGACGGGGGTCGGGTCTCCCCGCTGTGCCCCCCCCCAGCCCCGGGCCGCCCCACAGCACCGCGTCTGGCCGGGTCACCGGGGCCGCCTCAGGAGCCGGGCCCCCCGCCCCCCCCCCGGGGTCGGGTTTACCTCAGCGGCCGGGAACGGAGTTACCTCAGCGCTGCCCGGGCCGGGCTGCCCCGGCGCAGGCCCCGGCGCAGGCCCCGGTGTGCGGCATCAGGCTGGGGAGCGGATCCGGCTGGAAAATCTCCCGGAAAAGAGACGGAAAAGCGCGGCGCCGGGGCAGGGCGGCTTCCTCCGGCAGCGAGGGGCGGCGGCGGGCGGCGGCCTCTCCGGCACGCCAGGCGCTGGGAGCAGGCCGCAGCGCGCTGCGCCGGTCCTGTTTCATGCTTACCAACTTTTTGCCATAGTTGTGATTTCCAAGGCGTTTTTCCCTTTCCCCGTGACAGAGGTGGCAATGTCACCTTCTGAGGTCCCAGGCTGGTGCCTGCCGTTTCCTTGACCTGCCCTCTCCGGAGCAGTCTCTCCAGCGTCAGTAGACCAGCCAAGCCGTGGGGCAGGACTCATCTCTAGGGCACGTCTGCCCCACTGTTCCTGCACTCACCTCTTGAGATAGCGAGTTAACCGTCACCCTCTGACCCCAGTTGGCTTTAGGAGGTGCTAGGCACCAGTCATGGTAAAAGTCGTGTAGCTTAGCCCAGTTCTTCTGTATAACTGTATGCGAGAGCAATAGTGACTTGTAAGCAACATCGTAGTAACCTTTGAGGAAATAAATGTAGTCAGCAGAAGCATTTTTCCATTTTAGTAATCATGATTTCATTTCAGACTTCATACTTCAGTAGGGCCAAGACTGCAAATACTAGAAGATCCATCGAGTGCCTCAGGTCATCCTGCATCTGCCCCTCTTGCCCAGTTGTTCCTTGGTGCCGAGGAGCGTCTTGCCATCCTCTTGTAGTTCCAGTGACTATATTTAGACCTGCTCTTGTTGCTTTGATTATGAGCAGGAAATTTTTTTTTTGCTTCCCCCCTGCCTCAAGTAAACACTATATGTGAGGCATTAACATTTCTAAACACACATTAAAAGAGCACTTAGCGATGTTCAGCCAGTTGGATCACTCAATTGGTTGAACAAAGCTAACCCTGTAATTTTGCATACAGGGTGTCTTGCACATGAATGAAAACAGGGAGGGAGTATGGTATGATGTGTTCTCTTTGCTGGACTGCTCCATTCCAGTGTCCTGGAGAAAATGGGTGTGAAAGAGGGTGATAACCACAGTGAAATTATTTTCTCTGTTTAGCCATTGTAAAATGTTTACATGTTTCTGTGGGTCATATATACAGCAGGAAGCCAAAGTGCATCTGAATTGTAGTTTTCTTCATTTAACCTGTAAGCATGAAGTGAGTGAAGGCATTCCAGCTTTACTGAGCCTTCCACCCAGAGGACTACTCTTCTTATGAGACCCTTGTGGATCTGTGAAAGGGCTTGGATAGGCTTAGTTTATCTGGTGATTTGTGCAGGTTCTCTGAAATAAAGAAGAGGCAGGGAAGAAAGTGTGAATGTAGGCAATGTTAATTAAAAAAAAAATTCATCAGGATTTCTTTGGCATTTGTTAATAAACATTGATCTCTACATTGCAGGTGAGCCCTGTGGCACCAAACCTGTATGAGGAGAAGTCCAGAGTACTGAGAGGGAGGTTGGAGTTGGTCAGTTTGTGTAAGAGCTCCCTTCCTCCTGCAGAGGCTATCCTGGCAGGTGGGAGAACACCTCTGGCTGCAGAGAAGTCACGGGATGTTTTCTGAAAAATACCCTTGAAACTGTCTTATCTCTTCTGCTAGATCTTAAGTATTACTTTACTCGGTAGTTCCTCAGCAGGACTGGTGGTGTGATCTACGCAAAACCCAGCTTTGAGGATTTTTCTCTGCCTTTGATTCCCCAGCAACTTTTTCTTCTTTGCAGAAAATTAGCGTAGTGGCTTTCCTTCACGAGGCACGAAGAGCCTTGCTCCTAGTCAAAGCCTAAAAACCAGACTCTTACGTGAGGCCGTGTTGCCATCCAGCTCACCTTTGCAGTACATTTTTGTATGTAGAGCACGAGGAGTTTTCCATGGCCCCTACCTGCAGCTAGTTCTTCTAGTCTGAAATTCAGTTCAGTTTAGACAACCCTTTCCTCTTTTTTTGTTTTTCCCCACAGCTACAGTTGCTAAAGTGATTGACAAATTTGAGGATGAAACTGCAGATGACATTTTCCCTGTTGGTAATATAAGAAAAAAAGCTTCAGCCTCTCTCTTGGAAGCTGATAAAAGGTACAGTGGGAAGGCGACATCTCGCAAAGCTTTGCAAGAAGAACTCTGGGGAGATGCTCTGGCTGAGGAAGGATCTGGTAAGAAATCTCATTTCTTTTCCCTTTTCACTGGACTGCTCAAAATTTGATGTTAGCATGTTAACTGAGCTAGTGCCATCTGAACCGAGATGACAAACTTCAGGTCCCAGTTACAGGGCAGTAAACAGGTACAATTGAAGTTGGACATCTTCCCGAAGTGCCTTCCTGAAATTCAGGCCATATTTTTTGGCCTGAGGAAAGGGGAAATCCCAAAGAGAAAGTCACTTCTACAGATTGAGGAAAGAGTGTGACCTGAGTGTAAGGTGAGGTTCAGTGCACTGACTGCACATTGTGTGGAAGAAAATAAACAGCTCCCGGTTTAAAGTCAGTATGTCTCAGGGACAGCAAGTATGTACAGATTCTCATTTTAAAAATGCTTCTAGTAAATTCTGACCACCTTGTTTGCTTATCATGTCATTGTTTCATGGGAAAGCTAAGCCGTGGATCACCTAATCGTTGCTGCAGAAAATATCATCTGAGAACTTTTTGTAGATACGGCCTTGTGTTTCCATTATTTAGCCGAAACAAAGAGTAACATCATACACAGATAAAATGGAGGTTGGAGTTCAAATAGCCCCAACCTGTAGCTATTGATGATGCATACTGTAAAGTGGCACATCTTGCTGGTAAATAAGTAACTTTTTTTCTCCTTTAATTATTAGCTGAAGAAGAATTAGATGAATGGTACAGCGGCAGTGAAGATTCAGAAGAGGATGGGAGCTTAGGCAGTGAAACAAAGGAGAAGCCCAGCAGTGCTGGCAGTGACCAGGAGGATGGCTTGGAAGACAATGAGGAGACAGATCCGTCTGTCAAGGCCAAGGCACCAGAGTTCAGTTTCCAGAATATCACAGACTTTGAGAAATTTACAGAGGGGATGGATGATGGAGGAAGCACTGAGGGGGAAGATGAAGATGATGCCAGCATGGAAGAAGGAAGTGAGGAGGAGGAGGAGGAATATGGGAGTGAAACCCACGACAATATAAAGGAAACCAAAGACATTGAAGATGATGGGGGGGTGATGACATTCTCAAAAGGACAAGAGGCTGAAGAAGTAGAAAAAGGAAAAGCTGTGAAGAACCAGCTAGGTTTGTGCATGTTTGCTTTGTGTTTTGACAAGACTTTCACCTTGCTGACACTGTAGAAGCTGGCCATGTTAGGAACCACTTTGGCATGTTAACATGCTGTTAGCATACTGCATGTGCATGCTAGAGCAGCCCTAGTGATTTGCAAATGTTCTGCCAAATCTGCTATGCAAGCTGGTGTCACTGCTGCTGCAAAATCTCATATTATGAAGTGTATTTATCCACTGGCTTAATTGAACCATTATTGAATATACTTGTAGTATTGTTGGGGATAGGGACTTCCTACACGGGTCGTGCTGTGCATTGGTGGTGACGCTGCTTCTGTTTCTTTCCAAAATGTAATGCCGAGTGCTTTTTTTATTTTCCTATTTGCCCTATTAAACCATCAAACCTGAATTTGCGGAATGTGTTTTTAAACAGTAAAGCAAAGGGATGACTGTTTTTGTGGATCACAGAACTGCAGTCAGGATCGTAGGATGGGATGCTGCTTTGTCCAGAGACACCTTGTGGTACCAATTTTGTGCTGGGTCGGCGCATGCGAAGATTTGCCCTCACCAGCAGTAGCGTAGCACAGAGGGGAGGGCCTGTGCTGTTAAGACAACAGCTCCTTCACAAGGAGCAGATGCTTTGGCTTGCTAAGTAATTGTTTTGTTTTCTCTTTGTTATGAAGCATTGTGGGATCAACTATTGGAAGGGAGAATCAAGATGCAGAAGGCGCTTGTAACAGTCAACCGACTCCCACAGCCAGATGCTTACCCAGCCTTCAGAAAGGAAGGGGGACAAGAATTTGACAACGCTGTCGAGAACTGTAAGAATTTTTTCAGTCTTTCTACTTTGGGTAGATTCTGCTGTAGCCAGTATGCTTTGCCTGTGTGGGGAAGTGTTAGTGGGAAAGTGATGGCTTTGAGTTGCAGGTGTCTGTAGTATTAGCTGTTAGTTTGTATGACCTTAATTATTAATTAGGTACCATGCTAACCGAAACCAAAAACTGTTTCCTACCCCAGACAAAGAGAATATCTCCTATCCCCCCCACGTCTGTATGCCTTGCTGATCTCTGCTGGTGGCCTCTGGTCACTTACGTAATGTTGGTAAGACTCAGCTCAGGTCCTGCTGCTATTTCTGGAGTTCACGTGGGGATCGATATTTGCTTCTCAAATTTAAGTTTCATGCTGTATCTTAGAAACAATCGGTTTGGTTGTTGCTGTTTGGTGCAGAGTTGGGATGCTTCTTTGTCCAGAGCCACCTTGTGGTACCAATTTTGTGCTGGGTCAGTGAATGCAAAGACTTGCTGTAACCAGGAGTGATGTATCACAAAGGAGAGGGCCTGTGCTGTTAGGGTGGCAGCAAGTATCTTTTCAGCTTGGAGCTGCTTCGTCTGTTTATTTCTTAGGATCACTATTAATGATCTGATCTGATGAGATTTGTAGTAGATTCTCCAATATGGCAAATATAATGTGCATGCTCCAGTTGATAAGTGCAAAATACTCAGCTTCAGTGTGTTGTCGGTCTATTTAATTTTTAGAATTGGACGCCTTTTTTACAGCCTAAAGGTAAATATACAGGGAGATAAAATGGCTGGTATGTTATCCTTAAGAATAATTGCAAACTACTGCAAGTATCAGTTGGGGTCCATTTCTCCCTGACCTGTTTGTTGTTTTCTGTCAAAACCCACCCAGATGACAGTATTTATACACAGATTGTTCTTTTTTCTGATCCCACTGACCAGAAATTAGTGAACTTCATAGGACGTTCTTCCAGTGATTCTGAATAATAACGATAAAGCCCAGTAGCATCTTAAAGCTTGCCAGGTTGGTTATCCCTTTCACTTCTGTTTCCTCTTTCCCAATCTTGAGATACTGCTCGCTTTCCAGAACGTTTCAGCTCCGCAGGTGGGCGCCCCGGGGAGGATCCCGAGGAGCCCCCACGCGTGAGCCAGTCGGCAGGAAGCACGGTGGTGGTGTCTGCAGCCCTTGGTGCTGGGCATCGGCGGCGTCAGCGGAACCGCCCGGTTCGCTGCGCCCGTGTGTCCAGTCGGCCGCCACGTGCCAGTCTCTGCATGCTGCACGTTGAGAAAATCTGACCTGGGCTGGCTGGCACAAGTCATCTTAAAATTGAGTTAGGAACTTTCACCGTCACGGAACTTGACCCTGAATCTTGCCCCTACACCCCCGTTGTCTTACGGCTTACACCTGGTCTGAACATGGTGGCTAATCAGCTTAGCTGGGGTTGCAGCAGGTGAGATACATTATGTTTTAAAGTTAGCTCTGCTGCTTTAAATGAAGTGATTAAGGAAAAAAAGGCGAACTCCCGACAATACTAAGCTGACCTTTCAGTGAAATACATGTTATTAATGTATTTAATGAGATGCATTACAAACTGCACCAAGCACCATGTTTCATTACAGGTCTAAAACGCAATATCATTAAAGACCTTTAACAGAAACAATGGTTGACATTTTGATATTTCCCATAAGCAAAATACATCCAAGAACATGGAGTATAATACTGTACTCGGTACAGCAGAGAGGCTAATCTTGCAGTTGTCCAGAACACTAAAGGAAAATCCACTGTTAATAACTGCTCAGTGATTCCCTCCCCACCCTCCTCATAATCTGGGCAGGAAAGTTACAGTAGTGTACTCTGATGTTCCTGATAGCCTGGGTTTGTGTTCTGTATTTCATCTGTGAGGACAGGAAGAAAATAAAGCTGGAGTGACCTGGGCAGAGTTAGCAGAGGAAGAGCTTGGACTCACAGATGGGAGGTAGTGAACTCAGGAATGTTCTGCTACTACTACACTTGTTTAGTGTCTTCTGGTGGTTCTCCAAGGGACCAAATCTATATTCCTTTTTTTAGCTTATATTTTTTTAAAATACAATCTGTAATTGTACATTAGAGTAGGTAAGATAAAGTAATTTATAATGAGCTACACTACTGTCCAGTGCAGCTATCTTTCACTGCCCTACAAGATGCTTTTTCTAGAAGATGGAAAACGCCAAGCGTAAAATAAGGAGTAAACTTACACACGAAGATCTTATCAAAGACTAGAGATGTAGTTGGTGGCGTTACCTGGCAAAGGCCCATTTCTCTCTCACTTCGCTGCGTTGGGCCCTGCGAGAGGGCTGTATGGCTAATGAACAGCCCGAGCTTTTCCCTGTGGGCAGTCTGAGCTGTGTTACATCTTCACGCACGGAGCTTCTGCCTGGATAACAGGGCTGTGACCTGTCAGTTCAGGAGGTGAAACTAAGTCCTTTCTGAAAATATACATGATAATTAAAGTTCATCAATTGATGCACCTTCATTTATGAGGTGGGGGGGGGGAAAATCTCACTTATTATAAATCAGCTTCCAGTAAAACTTATAATTTTTAGCCACTCGAGTGGTTTAGTGGCTTCTACAGAAATAAAGTTTTTTACTTGGTTCTGAACGGTGATGTTGTGGGCTGGGTAAGCGTTTCTGGACTCCTGAGTTCTCACCCCAGTTGTGATACCAGCCAGGAGAAATGAGAAGAACTGTGCATGAGTAAGTTCAAAGACAGGCAGAAGACAGGACTTTGTAAATACTGAATGTTGAGGTGGATCCATTGTACGTGATGTGCTTCCGTCTTGGACGGGAGTTGGGATAATCAGGACACTGACATTGTTTTGGACTGGATGATACTCTGCGTTCAGGGAAGCTTTAGCACTGCTTTCCAAATCCACAGAATACATTTGGCATGATTTCATTATCTTCATTGAATAGGAGGAAAGGATTTGGTGTTGAAGTTGCACAAAGCAGTTGGTGCCAGAAATCCAGAGTCTCAGTGTTCGCTGTAGCGTGCTGAAGCAGGAGGGCACAGAGAGGCCTCGGCCCCCAGCGCTCCCAGAGGACCTGGGCAAGTCCCTTTGAAAGCTGCCCCAGAACGCTTTTGGGAATTTATCCCAAGGCCTTCTGTTGCTCGTGAAACTTCTGCTCTGTGCTCACAGGAAGGGTGAATTTTTTTAAATGGAAAAGGGTCCTTTGTATATTCGTCTCTGTGGTATTTCCCACTTGTGACAACCCTCTGTGCAGCTCATGGTGGTATTGAAATTCCCTGAGGGTTTGGGTATAATTGTGTTAAAGAGTAGATGGCAATGCTCTATACATTTGCAGTTTTAAAGCCAAATATGGGTGAAAATGGTAACGTCATGCTTGTTTTCCAAATTTTGAGATTGGAGGTTACAAGACCTCAAGTGTTTAATTTATTATTTTTGTAATCTTTTACAAAATTTTTTCTTTTTTTTTTTTTTTTTTTTTTTTTAAATGATACAACGTGCTTTGGACAGTCTTGGGTTCCTGAGATCTCAGGTTCTGGTGGATGATTTACTGCAAAATTGCTTATAAATTGAAGTAGAAAATGTTTTGCAGACCTGGCAGCTTTCAGGCTTCACACCCATTTGTCACCCAGCATTTCCCTTTGTGTATAGAACAAGAATTAATTAGGCTGCACTGCAGGAAAAGTTTATGGCCATAATTTATATAGGATGAATTTCTGTTTAAAGAGACAGCATTGCTTTGTTTGCACTGTCTTACTTTTCTTTCCCTTTTTTTTTTTTTTTTTAATCTTTAATTATATTCCAAATTTTTTTCTGTCACCCTTTTTACATACAAATTGGAGACCAACCTGTGGTCATGGAGCTTGTGTTTATTCCTGTTTTGCATCCACAGAGGAAGTCTTGAGTGGTTTTTAATCCCGAAAGCACGGTGCCTGCGCTCTGAGTGCAGTGCAGATGTTTAACGTTTAATGCACTGCACACGTGAACTCCCACCGCTTACGGTTCTGAGGTGCTGCTGCCTGGAGTGGGCTGTTTCTCCAAGATACATTTGTATTCTCTTGCACCATATCTTCCAGTCTAGTCCGGGGCTTGAGATGTTGCCTCTGTTTGGGGTCTTGCACGTTCAATTAATGTTTTTCATAATCAATGCAAGTCAGAATTTGCAATCTGCTCCTGATTTGCACATTAAAGAGACCCATTAATTAAAAATTCCAATCCCTGGCATGTTCCCGCAGGATCCTTGCATTATTTACATAGAAAAAGAGTGCAAGGTGCAAGTTTCTGTGCTGTGTCTCTGCACAGATTGCATGCCTGCCATTCATATTTCTATGTATGTTTTCAAGGAGGAGGAAGGTTAGAAGGGGATCTCATGAAAATGTCACCAAAAATTATCTCAAGGGCAAGAAAGAGCCAAAAAAGAGGTGGAAGCAACATTAGTGAAGCCACATCCAGTGTCAGGAGTTAAACAGTTCCTGGGTTTGGGGCTTGTTACGTTCAATTTTGATTCAGTGACGAAAACCTCCATGGCTAATTGTGGGGGCTGGGGGGCAACAGGAGCTTTAGGAAATGATATCTCTCAGTCAGCAAAGGCTAGAAGCTTTTGTATGTGTCCTGGGTAGCTGGGCTGCCCAGTCATGTAGCTCTGTTCTTCTATTTTAATTACTTCCTCTTTGTAATTCTGGTTAAAAATACTAAGCTGGCAATGTTTCTGTGACTAGTACTTCATGCTTCACAAAATGAGCTGGCAATTCTAGCTTTTAAATAGGATAATGTGTTATTTTCAGTTTTTAGTTGGTGAAATGAGGAGTTAGAGACATACAGAAACCCAGGTGAGGCTCTTGCAGAAGGCAGTTGCTGATGGAGGTTGCAAGGCTGTAAAGGGATGCGTAGTTGTGTATGTTTTGATATGTATATCTTTCACTTTCCAAGAGTTCAGTAGGTCCCTGAAATATAAACTACTGGCTGAATTTTTGTGTTTTTTTTTTTTTCGCTTTGACTCCATCTGTCAGTGGATAAAG